CCCTAAACCCCTAAGCCATATAACCCCAGGCATGTGGGCTGGCAGCAAGCCAGGGCCGCTGCTCGGTGGCCAGGCTCGGGCGATGTCTGCTAATGCCAAGGTTGTAGGATTCGACTTCATACGGGTTATATTGGGGTAATATTGGGTCATATTGGGTAATATTGGGTAATATTGGGTGATATTGGGATATATTGGGATAGTGGGAAAAAATGGAAACTACTATTTAGGGTTTAGGATACTCTGAGAAGTTGTGAAACACACATCTGTTGTGGCAGCATGCGGCATCATGCGGCTTGCCTGGCCTCGCTTTGCTTTGGAAGGTCGTCGATCACTGGCGACAGAAGGCCGGACTCTGAAGCTTGATCTGTAACCGCTTCAAATGGTCATGTGCCAAACTTTTGGTCTCTTGTCGGGAGGGTCTTCAGATTCAAGGCACCATGTCTTGGCACACTCGCCGGCGATAATGATCCTGGGTAGTCGAGAATCAGGGCACTGTGCCTGATAAGAGGTGATCAAAGTGATGTACCCCGCATTCTTTGACATCTTGGCTACTGGCCTCTGCTGCATCTTGGCCTTAGCAGGATCAGGGCGGCAGATGCCTGCAGCTGTGGCCAATGCTGCACCACATTGAAACTAGACAAGTAGATCGTTTGTTAGTTTGTTAGCATCCACAAGCTGTCGTTATGAAGTTTCTTCATCATCTGCTTATGACTACTCAGTTACTACTCCCGATATCATCCTAGCAGCGACCACCATTGTCAGCACCTTCACTATCATCACGCTGGTGCCCTTAGCCAGCTCAGGTATGGGCTTTCTGTACATCCCTGCAAGCGTGTGGCTGCTGGACAGCACCATATGGGTAGGGCTGGCCACTCAATTTGTTTTTCCCGCTTGAACCAGCTGGAAATACAGGGCTGGTATATGCATGACCTTATGGCCTTATGGTCCATGCTTGAGGCAACTACTGTAGCAGGATCACGGTTGATGCGTAGTGGCGCAGAGTTCGGCTATGCCTTTGCAAGGCACAGTCTGAAAAACATTTTTCCCAGTGGAGCCCATATCTGAAATTCTAAAGCACTGCCCTCCATCACCTTTGTTGGGACCAGCAAGCTGTTCAGGCAACTTCTCCGAGGGGCCGAAATCGTCTTTGCCAGAGCCTCGAGTTGATGAAATAGCACTACTCGTAGTGGGTTGGACTTGAGATGTGTGCTTCCTGGCCTCTTGGAGGCCGCGATCTTTGCAGTGACCTGCCTCCACCGGCGCCTCTACTGTTTCCAGTACATCGGCCTTGCGTTCTGTGTGGCCGGCATCTTCTTGGTAGGCGGGGTCTGGAGGCATCTCAAGCACTGGTCGAGATCCTTCAATGCTCAACGCTGAGGACTGGCAAGTGTCTGGAGCGACGATTTGCAGGCTCAGCATATAGAGGGGTATGCTGAAGCGTGTGTTAGAGGTTGCAACAGGTGTTGCTTAGATGTCGGCACTGTAAACAGGCAGCGGCGAAGGGCAAGGGCTCAGGCAACGTTCAGCTTCTCCTCCTGGGAATCTGCCCTGTGCTTAACCTGCTCAGCTGTGCTGCAATTTTGATTGCCTGGATTCCCAAGGTCTTGCGCTTGCAGGTCAAGTAGTCCAGGCGGCTCAGGCGGTTGCAGAAGAATGGCTGCTGCGGGACCGCTTCAGGCTTTTCATGCCACGCACTTCCGTCTTTTCCAGAAGAAACATTGATGCAGGATATGTAGCATCAACCCTGAACATTTTTCTGTTGTTCCCCATCTACCCCCCTATTGGCTCCACACATCCCTATATATCCCTACATAGTTCTCCCCTTTCAGCCAAGCAGACTCTTTTGTGCCTCGCGCCAGGACGTTGATCTGCCTGGCCTGCAAGTTGTGGGCTTTGAGGGGGTCTGGGGTGCTTTGGCCATGCAGCCCCGATGCAAGAAGATGTTCTGCGTCTCAAGATGCTGTAGCCCTATGTATTGTATAGTCCCTACAAAATCCTGCGCAGCAGAGACTGGTTGAGTTGGCCCAATGCGAGGCTAGTATTTGTCTTCCCAACCCTGTACATGCTTCCTGGGTCCTGGCCTTATCTTTTCTCAGCTAGCGACCATTTTCAGCAAATCCACAGGAGGGCTTTATTGCGATCCCAAAGGCAAGACCACGGGCATGCGGAAGACGAGGTCAATGCATACCAGTTGCTGAGGAGTGGTGATGGTGCCAATTGCAGGTCTGATTTTCAGGGCTAGTACAGGAGTTACTAGAAACCTAAACTTGCAGAAAACCCCCTTGAAAGGGTTTCGCAATCCTTTGCACATCTCAGAGTCTGACGCCAACAAGGAGCAACTCCACACTATGTACCCTGATGGGATTGTACATCTTCTCCTGTGTGCGGAGCTGAGTGTGCTGATTGGCAGATTGGGTTGGTGATGCTTTAGGTTGAGTCTCAAGGGCGCAGTCTGAGGCATAGATGGGACATATAGGAACCTCTAGGGGCATCTAGGGATTATATGGATGAATGCCCAGGCCACCTACAACATCTCCGGGATAGCAGTTACTGGCGCGCTCTCTGCCGTGCACCGGGTGATGATAGAGGTGGCATGCTCAGTCCCGCAACAGCAGCAGACCTCTATACATGGATGCGCAGGATTACACTGCGCTGATATGTTGCATTGAGGCACTTCGAACTTTGATTGTATGGGCCTTTGGACTGCCACTGTGCTGCAAGAGTAGGTTCAGAGTCTGTATCAGTGCTGTGGCAAATTGTGCTAGACTTCTGCTTTTGGACCCTGCGCTGTGCTGGAAGGAGCGTCCACTACCTGTACGATAGCAAGTCAGCTCTAGGAGAGGTCTGGACGCCGGACGCCTAGATGTCATACTTCACCTACCATGCTATTGTATTGCTTGGATCTGCTTGGTATACAGAATACTAGAAAGAGGAATAGTAAGAATAGTTGTAGTGATAATATTCGGATTAATAGTAGTAAGTGTTTACGGCCTGAGCACTGATGTCAGGAATCTGTCAGTTCTAGTCTTGTAGCCTTTAAGGCCCTACAGTTGGCTGGAGGCCACTGCAAAGCATCTCTGACCCACATAGCTAGGACATGTGAGCAGCTCTCTTTGCAGCAGGTGGCAGGTTTCCTTCTCCTGGTGATCGGGCAGGTGATCTATGGCGCAATGGTGAAGGCCACGAACTTGGCGTTTTGAGTCATCAAAGGCCTGCATCAGGGTCTATCTCATCGTGCTTTTGTGCCTCAGATACCGCGGCTGTACTACCCGCCCTCAGAGGCGGGGAAACATTCAGAGTATTGCAGAGTTGTAGCACGCCTTCGCTATTTTGTTGCCTGAGCTTGAGCGCCAGGAGATCTCCCACGATATTGTGGCATCTCCGGGGTCTCTGAGAAACTTGAGCGCTGTGCCGTCAAGATCTTAGCCCACTTCAGCCACTCTTCTCATGCCGGCGGCAGACACGTATGAAGGATGTCTTGCTTAGGCATGGTCGGCTAGTGAGCCCGGGCTCAAACGATGGACTTGCTATAAGCCCCATTGCGCTAAGCCCCTGAGCTTTGGCCCCCAAAGTGGAGCACCTTCGGCGCAGGATCCTGCAAATGCAGCGATTGTTTAGGAGCAGTGTGCAGCCTTGGCTTAGCAACGCACCAGGAGAAAAGGACACATTGACATGCCAAGGGTGACTAGGTGTCAAGAGCTTCCTGGTGCTGGCAATCGCAATTCCTTGGCCCTATCCGCAAGGTCCAGATCGCTGCTGCCGTCTAGCACCTTTCAATTTGATTTTCCGAGGCAGTTGACACGTCAGCCCAGAGGCGCACGACACCGCCGTACAGCATGGCGACCAGTGACAAAGGTAACAATACCTTCATCATAGTGCAAATGCCTGCCAAAGATGCCTGGCTACTGCAGCTGTCCGATGTGGAGCTTGCTAAGGCCTGGGGTGTTGAGAGCCTCAAGGGCAAAGAGAGTCACAGAGAGACGAAATGAATCAAACTAGTAAACACAAAGGGAGGTTATACATACCACAATAATGGAGAATCACATGGAAAAGACAATGGAACATGAAATGGAAACTGTGGTAATATTGGGGGTTATATTAAGGTTATATTGGGCTTATCTGGAAACCTCAGAACCAGCGTTTGCTGGGAGGTTCTTGGCTGCCTGGATGCTGAGTCCCTCCTGGAGGCTCTTGGCCGTGTCGCCCAAACATCTGCAGCACATAATATTATACTGGGGATTACATAGGGGTTAATGGAAAAGAAAATGGAAACTATTATATTATAATGGGGATTATGTAGGGGTTATATTGGGATCATGGAAAATAAAACGGAAACTACTATATTAAAAGGGGATTATATAAGAGTTATATCAGGTGACAGGCAGGTGGATATTGGTGGATGCTGGCAGAAAGGGGAGAATACTATTTCTATTATTATCACTATTATGATTATTGATTATTACTACTTCTTTTATGGCCGACAGGTAGCAATTGAAGGATTCGTGGCCTAAACCCCAAACCCCAAACGCTAAACACCCTAAACCCAAGCCCCAAACCCTAAACCCCAAACCCTAAACACCTTAAACCCAAGCCCCAAACCCCAAACCTTAAACCCTAAACCTCTACAGCAGCTTTTGCTGGGACCGACCCAGTACCCCCGCAGGCCAACTGGAGCTCGACAGAATGTTATAACCAAGATGCGGGCTGTTTAGGGATAGATGCAGGGAGATATATATATATATACATATATATATATAGGGGTTTAGGGTTTAGGGATAGATGTAGGGATATGTAGGGATATATGGGGATGTAGAGGGATATAGGGATTATACAGGGATAGCTGTAGGGATAGGAAGCAGTAGATTCTGCATTCAAGATCACATAAGATGGTCTGCAGGCGACATCCCTGTGCTCTGATGTGAGGGCCGCCGTGCTGCGCTTGGCACATCCTTTCCAGAAGTATGTAAGGGTCCACTGATGGCTGGGTAGGGGGTTGGGCCCTAAAAGCTAGACATCGAAAGTTGGGTATCCTTACCTATACATCCCTATGAGCTTTAATGAAAGCTCCTTAAAGGGGATTATCTAGGGGATTGTATATAGGGCAGTATATAGCTCATAGAGACCCCTGTAGATTACAATCCTTGCTTTAGGCACCCCAAAAGAGAACCCCTCATTTTTGGAAGCCCTGAGCCCTATAGAATTTTACATGCCCGTGGATCCCTTACATAACCCTATGTACATACATATGGAAGGTTACATCCTTGTGGAAACCTCCACTTCAAGCCTATAGTCCCCCTTAAGTAGATAGAATATGGCTTTGGGTATATTATAATAAGATCCCCATATAGCCCATGTTCTATCTACTTAAGGGGGACTATAACCCTAAACCCTAAATGCTAAACCCTTAACCCAAAACCCCATATGCTATCTACTTAAGGGCGACTATAAACCCTTAAGCCCTAAACCCTACATAACCCCTACATAACCCCTACAATTATAATAGTTTCCATTCTATCTTCCATTATCCCAAAATTACCTCAATATAATCCCCAATATATAGCCTATAGTCCCTATATAACCTACTATTATAGTAGTTTCCATTTTCTTTTTCATTAGCCCCTAAATAACCCTAAAGCCTATACCGCGTGGCATCTCAGAGGTGAAGCCAGCAGAGCAATGGCTCTGGCATCAGCTCCTAGAAGAGGTCCCAAAGCCATTCAGTGTTTAGAGCTTAGGGTTCCGCTATAAAGGGGTTGTGCAGGAATATATAGGGATAGATGTAGGGATACACACCCTAGACCCTAAACCCCAATGGATATAAACCCTAGACCCTTAAACCCATTATATACCCCAAATGGGAAAGATGGGAAATGAGGTGGACACTGGTTTTTACGCAAAGGGTCAGATTCCCCACTCGGATCAGATTTCAAGAGCAGAGATGTAGGGATTTCAGCACGTTCACCATAGTCCCCTTAAGTAGATAGAATATGGGGATCAGGGTTAAGGGTTTAGGATCTAGGATTTAGGGTCTAGGGTTGAGGGTATAGTTCCCCTTAAGTAGATATAATCTGCGGTATATGGGGATCTTATCGTAATATACCCAAAGCCATACTCTATCTACCTAAGGGGGACTATATAATACCGGGTCCCCTAAAGGGGGCTCTATTACACTACAGGTCCCTATATGAATTGACCACATTTTTGAGTACAATACTTCAGGCCAAGTCCCACGTCGGAGGTGGAAGGAGGTATGTTCCTGTTTAGGGTTTAGGGTTTAGGGCTCACCCAGTACCAGTCATTAATTGGTCTAGCATGGAGTATGCATACATAAAGCGCTTAATATGAACCCTATTGCTGTTAGTGGGTGAGGGCAGACCTCATATTTTTCTCTGAAAGTTGCTGAACGCGGAAAGGAGGAGTGCAGCGGGGCTCGGTAAGCCTGTTGCAACTATTCTTAGTCTTGGTCAGCTTTACTGAACAGACCAGGCAAAGGCCTGTCGCCTTTTGCTTAAGTTCTCCGATTTTGGTACCCCTAATTTGGGAAACCCTCAATCCTACCCCTATATAACCCCTATATATACCCCAATATATCCCCTATTAGACTACAGTAGTTTCCATTATCTCTATATAACCCTTAAATATCCTCTAAAATATAATCCCCATATTATACTCCTTTATCCCCCCACATAACCTCTATATAACCCCAAATAGAACCCCTATATAGCCCTATGATTGCAGGAGCGCCTCAGCGAAGAGCAGGCCGCTGATCATTCACAGGTTGGCTGCTGCATGCTAGGTTCTATAGGGCTATACAGGAGTATAGCGGTTATATAGGGGCGATGGAAAAGAACATGGAGACTAGGGATTACATGGGGTTAGATTGGGGTTATATAGAGGTAGGGGTTATATAGGGGCTATAATTACAGGGGTTGTAAAGGGGGTTAGAAAGGGGCTGTTAAAGGATAATGGACTAGAACACGGAAACTACTCTTAGCATAATGGGGTATATATTCGGGTATATTGTGGTTATAATGTTGGGGTTAGAAAAGGGGGAAATGGAAAAGAAAATGGAAGCTACTATCTAGGGTGGTACACGGACCTGGGGAGTGCTACTGACGCCTGATAGTGTTTACTGCCACCTTCTATAGTCCCCCTTAAGTAGGGATAATGGAAAAGAAAATGGAAACTACTATTTAGGGTTTAGGGTTTAGGGGTATATAGTCCCCCTTAAGTACATAGAATATGTGGTTTTTGGGATCTTATTATAATATACCCAAAGCCATATTCTATCTACCTAAGGCCGACTATACTACTGCCGCTACTTCTATGTTTCATTCACTTCATCATGGCTGGTTTCTGCTAGCACTGCTGGAGCTGGAGGAAATCTGGCATTTGCTGTATTCCTCTGTAGGACCAGTTTTCTGGGTTGCGGTTAAGGAACTTAATTTAACTTACTATTTTGGGGAAACCATCTTAGTTACTATATGTACCCATTATGGTATCTCTACGTCCTAAACCCTATGAACCCAGTTACTTAGATCCCTATAATCTCCCAGCTTCCATTTCATTTTCCATGTTCTTGTCCATTTGATTCTCAATTATAGGAGGATAATCAAGTTCCTTAACAGCAACCCTAAACCCTAGATAGTAGTTTCCATTTTCCATTATCCCATATACATATATATTCCGATTATGGTATCTTAGCTTAAGTTCCTTAAAAATACAACCCAGGTCTTAAACTTAGCAGTGTTGCAGGAGCCAGAAAGCGGAGCGCTCCGCAAAGCTGAGGAATTGCTCAGTCGTCGCCTCACCTTTGCGTGATACCCGTTCAAGATAATAGCAAAAACTGTTTAGGTTTCAGGGTTTAGGGTTTAGTCTGTTTAGGGTTAAGCCTGTTTGGGTTTAGGGTCTAATTAGGGTTTAGGGTATAACAATTACAGTAATAATGAAAACTAATAATAACAACAGTAGTAGTTCTTGTTTGATGTAATTTCTGCAGAGAGAATTTTCCAGGGACAGCAAGTCCAAAGCATGTTTCCCACATGGTAGTTTCCCCAAATCAAGGACCCCAACATAAACACTAATACACTATGATCCTTATTCTAGCCACACCCCCCCCCTCCCCTCCAAAAAAAAGAAAAAGCGATACCCTCAGTTTTGAGAAACCCTAAACGTTATATGTCCCTATATTTCCCTTACATAGCTATCTGCGGAAAAAGCAACTTTTATTGTACCCCTTCAGTAGATGGAATATGGGATATATGGGGATATTATTATAATATACACAAAGCCATATTCTATTCACTTAAGGGGACTATATGTAACCCTAAACCCTAAACCCCTAAACCCTAAATCCTAAACCCTAAACTCATTTTTCCCTAATGTATTATATTGGGAAAGCCCTCACATGCCTCCCAGATCCCAAGTTCGCACTTCAACTTACTGGGCTTTGAACTTTAGTAGGCAATAAGGGAATAGAATCCCTATAGAATCCGTTATACTCCCCATCTAATCCCCATATAATATATTCCTTTATTCCCTACTAACCCCCCTAAACCTAAAACTCTAAACCCTTAACCCTAAACCCTAAACCCTAAGTAGATCAATGGCGAGGCCTGGGCTCTGATCTTCCCCCAAAGCTCATGCCTGCGCCTCAGCCAAGATAATGGTTTAATGGTAATAATGGTTTAGGGTTTAGGGTTTAGGGGCAATGGTACTAGCAGTACTAGTAGTCATAGTAATGCAAATAGTAACAGTAATAGTAATACTAACAGTAATAGTAATATTAATAGTAATAGTAATAGTCATAGTAATAGTAATAGTAATAGTAATAGGGACAGCAATAGCAATACCGATGGCGATAGCCATAGCAGTTGCCATAGTGATAGCACTAGCAATAGTCATATCAATAGTTATAGATATAGTAGTAGGAATAGTAATACTGGCAGTAGTACTAGTAGTACTACTAGTAGTAGTAATAATAATGATATTTTTTTGATGTTCGTACATCTTTTCCTGAACCTGCTGTTCAGGTTCCGTTTGCGAAGGTGCGCCGGCATTGCCTGTGGTGGAGGTGTCATGTAGAGGGATCGGCTGAAAGGTATCTGGCGCAGTCCTGCTCTCAGTCACATATTGCTAAAGATACCCCTAATTTTGAGAAAGCCCTAATCCCTACAAGCCCCTACAGAATCGCAGTTCAATCGCATGTCCCATTTGATTCTCCATAATTGGAGGTAATGGTCCTTAACCCTAAACCCTATATAACCCCTTTATAACCCTATATATCCTAGATTTATTGGAGGCAATATCCCTAAACATGGACCGCTGGTGGCCGCACCAGGCGCAGGATGCCCAGCCTGCCAGATGCGCTCAGAACTCAGTTTATGTGGGTATTGGTCTAAATTCCGTATAATACGGGGTCCTATATTTGGGTTCCCATTATAATACGGTGCCCTATATAAATTTCCCCCATTTTGGGAACAGTAATTTAGGGAAACTACCATGTAGCGCTTTGGATCCAACGTGTGAGTGGATAGGGTGCGAATGAGATCTGGGGATTTCCCAAATTTGGCGTTCCTTTTTTGGGGGGGTCCCTGTATAATAAGGACTGTAGTATGTTGGGGTCTATATTGAGGTCCTACTTGGGGAAACTACCATGTCTCCTGGCTTTTTACCTGAGGTTGCGTTGCGCAGCGGACCATGGACATCAGGTAGTCCTGGAGCTTCTGGTGCATGTGCGTTCGTTGCTGAGTTTGGATGGGGCCTGGCTGGAAGCAGCGGAGAGTGCATTAGACTCCACTCCTGAAACTGATATTGTGGCTGAGGTCAGTGAGTGTTTCACCCTAAGCATCCAGGTGCTGATCCAAATGTCGCTGCGGACACTGGCGCCTACGGTGTGGGTTTTACGCAGGCCGACCCAGTGGGGGCAGTCTTGAACAGCTCTTGCTCGTCTTCTCCGATCAGGTGGGAGCATATCCATTACACTTGGCCGCAAAACGCGGCCGGATTGCAGTGATGGAGGCAGCACGGGGCCTGTGGCACCTTTGGATTTGTGCCTCTACTGTGAACTGCACAGGTGCTCCTGAAAGCTGGTGCTGCTCTTGGGCACCTGCAATGGATCCGTGCCACCTTGCTCGAAGCTGTTCCCGTCCAGGTGCCAGCATTGACGCCGCCGACCAAAATGGACGGACGGGGATCCTTGTCAGCACCAGCAACCAATTAATCAGTAATCGGTACAGATTGCAAGGAACCCTCTGAGCATGGCATGTCTAAGTCTAAGCCCCAAGCCGTGTTCCCCAAATCTCAAACTCTGCACCTCAGAAGCTCTTGGAAACCTCTGGAGTGGCCCTGAGCCACAGAAACCCGAATGTTCTCCCTTCCGTCAAGGCTGATGGTGGCTGCTGCCAGCGGCCAGTGCAATGCTAAGTGAGACACAGGGTTGTGGGCGATTCGCTGCTGGGTTCAGTTCCCTTTCCCTTGGCTCCAAGGTCATGTATCTAGAGGTAAAGGGTGCGCTTTGACACTTCCCAACATTCTTCCTGGAAAAAGGAGCAGACTTGAACTGGAGGCATGCTGCCATCCTCTGGTTGCTGTGCCACAAAGCTGCCTCCCGGCTTAGAAGGCAAATGTGGCCGCAGATGTCATACAGTGAGTGGTGATGAGTTGCTGCCTCGCCATCACCATGATGGCGATAGGGGGCAGAGCCTTGTTTGCATGCCTCGCCGAAGATCGTTTAGCTTCTGTGGCCGTTGACATTGCATTTGAGGCGGCGGACAGGTCTACGCATTATGGCTACACGGCCGGGTCCACTGAATTGAGGAAGGTGCTTTGGTCAGTTTGATGAAGACTGCTTGGGCAGGCCTTGCACTATGCCGCGCTGGTTCCGAGACCCGAGGCGACATGGGGAAAGCCTAGCTTTGATGAAGCAGGTTCTTGACGCACATGCACAAGCTACTGGTATCACAAGCTCATGTTGCATTTCGAGTCGTCGGGTGCATGCTTTACCTGCAGGTAGTCTACGCCTTGCTGGAGGGCCGGGCCTGATGCCCAGTCGGAAATGCAAAAGCGGGTCTGCCTGAGAGCGGAAATCTTCATTTCATCACTTGTGCTTGTGATTGGTTTTCAACGCAGTGAAGGCAACCTCAAATGTGGTGGACCGCGAAGGTCGCAGCGTGCTCTAGCGGCATATTCTGCACTGACGGAGTAAATTGCAATAAGAGCGGCATCCTTGTGTCATCACTGAACGGGCACCCTGATTGCAGAACGGGCAGAGCTGAGGCACTGCATGCCGCTTTATCCACACTGCCAAGAGCACGTCCGATCCTCGCGAGAGTGCTGGAGACACCTCAGTCGTCCATGTTGCATGGGAAGGCGTCTCGGCTTGATTTGGAGCAACTAGGTGCTGAGGGCGCTGTGATCTCCACCAGCTGCGATCCGTCAGGCCATGTGTTCCTCCGAGATTTCCACGCATCCCCACCCTGTCACATATGCCTGGGCTAGGAATTGGTGATGAGTACTGCTACGAAAACGACATCTCTCATGGCTATCGCAGAAAGGAGCAGGAGGTGAGCTGGACTCATTGGGCCCATCTGCTTGCGTTAGATTGTGTTTGAACCCTCTGTCAAGATTGCAAGGAGGCACAAGTGCAGGCGGTCAAGAAAGCCTGCACAGCACTGGTGCGCAGCGGACTTAGAGCAGATTTCTCTGGACAACAGCAGGCCCATGATTTGCAGAGACGGTATGCCGATTTGTCAAGCGAGCGCAACAGCCCTTCAGCGTTTCCTTGATTGGATCCTTGCCCCAGACCATAGCACTGGTGACTCTGAGATGCCGAGGCCATGGGGCCGATGCAGCGTTGCAAGACAGCTGGAGCCCGGGTGATACCATTGGTCACGATGTATGACGACAAGGATGAAGACAATTCGAGCAGCGAATCGCAAGGTGCTGGCCGCTCCGCCGTAGATGTGGTCCAGGACGCAGCCATATGGCTACCGCTCAATATGAA